TCTCTCTCTCTCTCTCTCTCTCTCTCTCTCTCTCTCTGATTCAATCCCACAGGTCACTGTGCTAACATATTTTGCGCACACCATTCATGTTGCATCTCTGTCATTTTGACCCACTCTTCTGTCCTTCTCCCTCTGCCTCTCCCGTCTCGCCTTGTCTCTCTCTCTCACTTTGAGCTCGTCTTGGCGATGCTTGTCTCGTGAGTGCTCGCCTCGTCTCTCTCTGTCTTCAGGCGAGAGATGCTGCATTCTCTCCTTATCCTTCGGACTCTCAACGTCCATGCTCCTCCGTCCCCCCTGCTTGTAAGCTTGAGTACCAAAATCCCTCTGGCGCTGGCTGCCCTCTGTCTCATGAAATGTCTGCGGACTTCTCCTCTTGTGTTTTCTCTCTTCTTTTGATCTGTCGGTTTTCCGTTCATGGACATCATCTTGCTCGCGTTGCTTCCTGTATTTCTCCTTGTCCTCATATTCTTGTCCTCTATCTTTTCTCTCTCTTTCTCCCCATCCTCCATCTCCGTCCCCTTGGCTTTCTCCTCTGTGCCTCTGTCCCTGGTGTACCCTTTCCCCTCTGTCGGTTTTCCGTTCACGGACATCATCCTGCTCGCGTTTCGAGTTCGATAGCTTCCTGTATTTCTCCTTGTCCTCGTATTCTTCTCCTCTATCCTTTCTCTCTCCTTCTCCCCATCCTCCCTCTCCCTCCTCTCGCCTTTCTCCTCTGTGCCTCCCTCCCTGGTGTAGTGGGTGTACCCTTTCCTTTCTGTCGGTGTTCCGTTGGCGAACATCATTCTGTTCGCGTTGTGCGTCTAATCGATTCCTGTATTTGTCTTTGTCTTCATATTCTTCTCCTCCATCCCTTCTCTCTCCTTCTCCCCGTCCTCCTCCTCTGTCCTCTCGCCTTTCTCCTCTCTGCCGCCCTCCCTGCTGTACTCTTTCCCCTCTGTTGATTTTCCGTTCACGAAAATCATCCTGCTCGCTCTGCACGTCTGATCGCTTTCTGTATTTCTCCTTGTCCTCATACTCTTGTCCTCGTTCCTTTCTCGCTCCTCCCCCCCATCCCCCCTCTCCCTCCTCTCGCCTTTCTCCTCTCTGCCTCCCTTCCAGGTGTACCCTTTCCCCCCCTCCCCTATCCCTTTGTTCGTCTCCTCGTGTTTCTCCTCTATCCCTTACTCCCCCATCACGTCTCCCTTCCTCTCCCTCTCCTCTCGCCTCACGTCTTCCCCTCCTCTCACCTTCAAAACAACGCCTATCTTTCTCATGGCCCTTTTTTTGACCCTCGGGCTCTGAGTCAACATCTTTCCGCTTGCCCCTTCCGTTGCCGCTCTTTGGCGAATATGCCCCTCTTGTCCTCAGTCCCTCTCCTCCGTCGCCCTCCGCGTCCGTACCCAGAACCCCCCTCGAATCATCATCAATTTTGCTCCGTTTACTCCCCTCCTTGTGCTTGTACGTCTCTTCGGTACCCTTTTTTCCCTCTTCCACGTTTTCTGTCCGCACATTCTTCACTCTATCTTGTGGCGCTTCCGCCTTCACATCCCATCTTGTCGCCTGCCCATGGTGACAATGAGGATGGTCGTGATGCCGATCATGACGACGACTGCGATGACGATCCACATTCTCTTCGCTACTATCGTCACCGGACTCATCACTTTCGCGCTTCCTGCGCACAACTTCAGCTCCATTTCGCCGACTCCTTTCTGTCTTTCCATCATCGTCCATTCGTCGTTTTGTACCAGCATGACGACTCCTCTCTTCTCGGTGCACATGCTTCTCTTTTCCGTCTTCATGTCGGGAAGTCCTCTCTCTCCGATCGTCATCGATGCTCTCATCTTCCGGCAAGACCAGTTCGTAGCTGGAAGATGACCACATTCATTCCCGTCAGGTCAAGAGCAACAAAAGGGTGCAGCAACCCAGACTGACTGCCAGGTGTTGCCTGGCAAAGAAACACAGCAGTTGATTTTCACTTTCAACTTTCAACCAAAATGTTCCCCTTTCCCGCCCCCCCCGACCACATTCATGCACATCAGGTCGAGGGCAATAAAAGGGCGCGGCGACCCAGAATGACTGCCAGGTGTTACCTGGCAAAGAAACACAGCAGTTGATTTTCAACTCATCAACCATACTTGCCGTGCACCTGGTGCCCGCGCCTGCAGCCGCGCTCAACGCCTGACGCCAAAAATGTGTTTGTGTGCGCAAGCGTCGGGCATTTGCAAGCCATAGGGCGTTCTCTTTTCCTTTCCTTGATTTTTCATTTATGAACCATTCTCAGTTGTCCATGATGTCTGGGTTTGGGAACAACATATGCATCCTTGTTTAAGGTCCAATATGAGGTAGTCTCCTTCACGAATCAGAGAGTCGCCATTTAGGTCTTTCTCTCTCTCTCTCTCTCTCTCTCTCTCTCTCTCTCTCTCTCTCTCTCTCTCTCTCTGAGACTTCCTGACACAGAGAGAGAGAGATGCACCTNGAGAGAGAGAGAGAGAGAGAGAGAGAGAGAGAGAGAGAGAGAGAGAGAGAGAGAGAGAGAGAGAGAGAGAGAGAAGCTCAACGGCCTTGAAACTCGACAACACCACACACCCACGATCTCGAAGAGGGCACCTAAAGTCCCCGAATATATATTATTAGCTGCCTTTCAGTCCCGATACAGTCATCATGATGAGGGTGCATGTTGTCGCGAAACAAAAGATAAGCTCCACCCTCACCATGAGTGCATCGGACCTGAAAGAACCTAAGACACATTCGTGGACTCGAGGTGTCCTTTGTCGGAGTTTGTAGTTCACGATTTCGTTGGGTGTGTCCAGGAATGTTTGAAGCTGCTTTTCAGGTCCGATACAGGCAGAAGAGGTTGAGTGGTTTCAGGAATCAATGGAACATTTCCACCGTCGCCATGACTGTATCTGACCCAGAAGGCAGGTTGGATACATTCGGGGACAACAAGCCCTGGTCGGGGTTTCATGTGTGGGAAATTTGGAACGATTTTTTTTTCCCCCTTTTAATTTGGACCATTTCTCAATTTATGTGTGTCATATTTGCGCAGGGGCCATTTGCTAATTTACCCTTCTCTGTATCGTTCCAATTTTCATGGATGTCCAGAAGGACAACTGGAACGTTATAGCAAAGATTGGAAAGCAAAAAAAAGAAGTAAAATGCCCTGTTCGCCAAATGGCCGGTGCATTTACTAATGCTAACTCGCCCCAACCCTGGATTATATTGGCCCAGATACTGTGAGCCGTCAAATCGGATCGCTCAGATCCTACCCACAGCAGTTTGGCAATCCCTGCTACTCCACCCTATGATTTCTGAAGTCCGCTGCCGAACATGGGCACCGATTCTGAAAGCTTCGAGCCGAGTGCTTCCCTACACTCTCTCAGTCCCAGAGGATAGCAGAGCAATACTGACCACCTTGGTCCCCCTGCCTATTTAACAATCCTGTCAATCCTTCAATATCTGATCCATTACTGAAATGTAATGCACATAATCCGCAGGAAACCAACATATGTCCTGTCTCTTATACACATCTAGATGTGTATAAGAGACAGGGCCCACACCGCACGGCCCATCGACAAGCTCCAAATCCCTTTCCTTTTATTTTTTTCCCCCTGTCCCACCCATTTAACGGTTTTAACTCCATTTTCCTCAGACTTATCTTTCATTCTTATCTTAGGACCTCGCCACACCACTGTCGAAACGAAAAAAGAACGAATGCATCTTCTGCAGAAAGTGGTAAGATGCATCCATTGCTAGCTCCCCAGCATAGAAGGAGCCAGGCCCATGAATTAAAAAATATATATATAATTTCGTACACTTTTGTTGGAGTTCGTCCAGAGATCAACCCGCTGATTCTGACAAGCAGCACAGCGGGTTCACCCTCGGTGTTCTAGCGAGAGATCCAGTCCATAATTTTCGTTTCGGACATCCTTCAATGCTCCTTTTCCGTGTTCTGGCGGGAGATTCATTCAAGATTTTTCCATGTTCTAGAGGGTCTTGCGAGGCTCAGGGACTCGATCTGCCCTACAGGGTCCTATTTCCAGTACAGTCGGCTGCCCTAAGTGAAGGCAGGCTCGACCAAGGCCTACAGGCCCATATTTGGGGTCACCACGCAACTAGGGAAATTCAGGCAGTTGCGCAGCGCCAGTTGGTTGAGAGCGCCCAGGCCCAGGCTGCCTTTTTTCGTATGTAACTGAGGCAGGCCCTGGGCCAGATACGCACCATGGGCCGAACACAGGCTGCGGGCAGTTGGGCACGAGTAACCACCACAGGCCCTGGGCCTGATTCATTCGGACTGCGGCTCAGCCTCACGGGGCCTACCGGAAGCTTCTGGACCGAGACCCAATGCAGGCAGGCCGCACGCAGCAGGCAGGTCACTTTCCATTTAGGAAAGTGTCTGCCCACACATTCGTCATTCCGGCACTGGCTGCACGCTGCGCTATACCCTGGCCAGCGCTCACACGCTCACGGGCGAGCTGGAAGGAGCAGGCAGCCATTGCCGAGCTGCGCTGCTGTATGCTAGAGGGGGCGCATGGTGGTCCTTGGGTGCACGTGGCATCTGTGAGTGGGGGATCGAGGTTGCGAGTGATACGAGAGACATACCTGGTGCTTGAGGCGAACGGCATTGGCCGAGATATGCTCGTACTTCGGGGGAGCTGTTGACGTCATCAGCGGCATTGCAGATTAGGCTAGATAGGATCTGCCATGAGTAGTCCGGGCGCAGAGCGCCAGATAGGATGTCGACATTGGTTCTGTGTTGATGATGATGATGAGACTATCCCAACATTGTCACTTATGAGCTTTTGCTGTGCTCTTATTTGGTGGAACTCGTGTTGCAATTCTGCTTTCGGTTCGAGGGCACGACCACCTGGTCACATGTGTATGATGCTGCTTGGTCTCTGAAGTTCGCTATCGCACATTTTCCTTGCAGTCTCCTCATAAGAGGTGGAACCCTAAACCTAAATCACACACAGCATCACAAAGAAGGCTGAGAATGTCATAGAGGTCAACCCACTAGAGCACGC